AAATTGGAACTTTCTAAGGAAAAAAGCTAATTAATGTTTCGTTAATCCATGAAAGTACATTAATGTCATATTTTATTTACAAAATAAAGTTGCAACCTTGCTGTCAATCGAGTTTGATTTATGGTTAATTTCAAGTAGGCATTCATTCACAAGATTATGCTGCTAGAGTTTATATGTTGTCATATTTTATTTACAAAATAAAGTTGCAACCTTGCTGTCAATCGAGTTTGATTTATGGTTAATTTCAAGTAGGCATTCATTCACAAGATTATGCTGCTAGAGTTTATATGTTGTCATATTTTATTTACAAAATAAAGTTGCAACCTTGCTGTCAATCGAGTTTGATTTATGGTTAATTTCAAGTAGGCATTCATTCACAAGATTATGCTGCTAGAGTTTATATGTTGTCATATTTTATTTACAAAATAAAGTTGCAACCTTGCTGTCAATCGAGTTTGATTTATGGTTAATTTCAAGTAGGCATTCATTCACAAGATTATGCTGCTAGAGTTTATATGTATATATATATATACAAATATATACATACAGTATGTTATACGTTATAATTGCATACCACATTTCATCCTACCTACTCATAGCAGAAAAGATGTATTTGTTGATCATCTATGTACAGTTTATCTGCTTTGCATTAGTGTATAAAAGTGGTATCCACAGCAGAATGCAAACATGGCATTTATATTGCTCTGTTCACAATCACTGCTATTGACTGAGGTTTTTTTTTTTAAAAAAGCTGACAGCAATTGAAGTGGGACAAGGAATATCGCAGTGTCTGTACCTGTTTTCTTGTACTAAACATGGGTTTTCTTCAAGAAAAAAAAAGTTCAAGTGTATGATACATTGGCCAAATGAGAGTAGAGGAATATTTTTGTCTGGACCATCTTATTATAAAAATATTCATCCAGATCTTCTGTCTTGTCCTTGATCATTGTCTATGATGTCTGCAACTAATGGAAGGTTGCATTAGATGAGTCCATGTTATATGAATAACATAGCATGGATCTGCCTGTAAAACATTAACCGTGGATTTACCCATACAGTAGTATATATCCCAGACATGAATTGCGCCTCAGCAGTTTGCCAGTCCCACTCTTTCCTGATGATTAGATGGCTAGGTGGGTAGTACTACTGATTTTTTAAAACAAAAGTTATAGTACAACTGGCAAACAGTGGCCTGATTGGTATCTGGTGGGGAAGACTAATTCTACTGAGGAAATAGCTAGAAAGCAATAGACCAAAGATCTGCTATTTGCCTATATATGATTGAGAATAAGTACTGAAAGTATATATATTTTTCTTTCTAGAAGCATAAGAACTTTCTGTATAGAAGTCAGATATTCCAGGTTCCAGATATTTAAAGTGTAACACGGTTATCTGAATAAGTCATGATGATTTCACTTAAGCATCATTAGTTTTCAGCAAGTATCTTAGTGCATTAAAATTACAGATGTATCAGATGATAATTTTATTACATTAAACTCTATTCACAAAGCAGTTTATTCTAGTATCTCTTTATACTGATCACAATTTTATATAGATTTGTACACAGCTCACCACAGGAGATAATTTATAAAACATCTGAATGCATATTGCCTAAATCTGAAACAGGATTTTTTTAAATGAATCCATAAAATGTAACTGGCTGCTTGAGTTCAGCTTAATGATAAGTTGTACAAGTCTGATGTTTTAGCAACTCTTCTTATTCAGAAATATTTCACTAGTAGGTAGTAACTTGTATTTTTATCTAGTTTATGTCTGTGCTAGCTGACTATGGCTCATGGAATAAATTCAGATAGGCCTTTCTCTAAGCTCTTTCCAAAAAGGAAGTGGGCAGCTTTGTAATGGCAACTCTTAGAAGAACCTAGGAAGTTGTTATTTCAAGGCACTGAAAGTGCCATGAGGTAGAGGTTTCCCATGAATTTGATTCCTCTCTCCTTTTGTTAAGGGTTGAATAGAATCACCTCACTATGGAGTTCTGCTTTAGATCACCAGGTATGGCAATTTCCATCTGAACTTTAGGCTTTGTTTGATTGCTGTTTTTTTTTTTTTTTTGCTTTCAAATTTGTGTGGAAGCTGTATGAGGAAAGTAAAGATGTCCCACCCACTGTAGATTATAGATCCCCATGGCTTTTTTCAGAGTGAATGTGCCCCTTGAATTAATTTTTTTTTATTTTTCTAAACCTGTTATAGTATTGAAAATTGCTTCTTGCAAATTAAGGTGGTCAGGATATACTCATAATGGAACTCTGCTACCTTACAAGTAATAGCAGGTTCTAAAGATAGTAAGTTTAGGTGAAAGGTGTAGTTTTAACATATTTCTTTTATATTCTTTAGAGGTTACTCTCCTTAAAACCATTTTTCCTGAAAGCTTTGGCATCACAAAGTAACTTCTACATAGTAATTTGATGTTTCAAATATTATTGAATGCAAATCAGAGTAGCTTCAGCCAGCAGGGCTCAGGTTCTTGTGGAGGGTCACAGGCTCCCTTCAGAAATGCAACTGATTTTGTAATGAAGCCTAAGAACATCTAACTCCAACAAGTAGAATCTGTCAAGCTTATATGTCTACAGAGGGAAGGGATACTTAAGGTCCTGTCCCTGAAAATACTCAAGGGGACATGAAATCCTTCTTTGTAATGGCTCCCATGTTATGGAACGCTTTGCCCCAGAGGTATATCTGGCATCTCTCCTGTTGATCTTCTACAAGGTGGTAGAAGACTGTGCTATTTAAATGGGCATTTGAAGGATCATTGTTGTGAGAATTTTTATGATCAGGCACCCATGTCTGTTCTCTAATCCCTATTGTTTTTGATTGTTGATGTTTTTAATTTTTATTGTAAACTGCCAAGAATTCTTCAGGCAGGGTCGTATAGAAATAATTATAATAAAGAATAAACTTCCAGTTCTCCCATTTTTTCTGTTTACTATTTTTAGAAAGGGGATCTGGTCACTTCCGCTTTATAAAGTGCCGTATGTCATATAGAGGGCATTCAGTAATAATAGTAGTTGTCATAGTTCCATGTACACAATGGACGTTTTCCCCCAGATCAATATGCATAGGATTATAGCCAAAAACTTTGCAGAATTATAACTTAAGAAATGCTGGGTCTTCAGCTTTGATCTAGCACACATGTACTACAGCTGCATCCTGTGGTATTAGAATAATGCTCCTTCAAACCTAATGTAGTTTTCTTCAATGTCACACTGGTTAAATAATAACACATTATCCAGGGAGTTGCTCCATTGATGTAAATGTTAAGGCTGCAGCTTTATTATTTTTATTATAAGTAGCAGTTCCATGAAACATACATAGATCTATGTAAATAACATCAGTTTCATTATTGTGGCTACACTCAGTTGCAAGTATACATAAGCATTGTGTATGATGAAAGCTAGTCTACAATGTACTATGAAAAGTTAAAGTTCCCTGGACAAATATGATATCTTCCATTTCTTTGCTACGACTATGGATTTCAGCCATCTTGTACAAAGAATAGATGGTATTGTGGAATTGGGTCTTTCTGGGAAACATCCCAGAGAATAACAGAGAGCATACATTAAAATAATTATTGCTGAGTGTTAAAAGCTGCCTGAATTTTAAAAAGGAACACAAAAGGAAATGCATACTGTTATTACCAGGATTTAATAATAGAATAATTGAATATTCACATCTGACTCAAACAAAAGTAGAAAATTAAAAATTTTAGTGTTAAAATGTATATTCTAAGAATTGGCGCATTTCAGAATTGATTGGGGGATAATGTAACAAACTTTCCTATAAATTTCAGAGACTAGTAGTAACTGAAAGTCCAACAGTTTTAGGTTACTCATGATTGAGTTCCTT